AGGACAAGCTGATGGCATAAGATGTAAGTACAACTCCTCCAGTTTCATATGCAAAAAAAATTATTGTGCTAGCTTACGTGGTTGCAGTGCTACCGGGATTTTAAAATACAAAATGGAGCGTGTCTGCTCCGACTGGCTTTAAAGGGTTAATGTTAGGTGTAACTATATAGTGTAGAAATTACATGATATGCAGAGAGGGTATATAAAATTGTTCATATCATGTTTGAGGGAAATAAGTCAGTAATGTAACAATGCTAAATCTCCCAACACCGCATGCAATTTCCACTCGCGAGCTTCAGATTGTGGTTTGAGGAAGGTATCCATCTCAGTCAAGTCAAGCAGTCACCTCTACTTTTTTTGGTATACCAAAAAGGAAATTGGTTGGTTCTTACATTTACAAAAATCGAACTTATAATTTGAACAAAATAATTTCATGTTTTTGTGGTGAACGTAATGAAATCATGTAGGATCTGTATGAAATTCATCAACTTAATTTGTTCTTGTTGAGATGACATGATACAATCTAGTAAGTTCAAGTTCAAATTTTATCCCGCCAGGCACACGACCCTCCATGTCTGCCACCCGTCCATCGTGTACTCGGATCCAATCGGATGAGCTGTCCAGGGTGTACCCTGCGGCTTAACCTATTGCAACCTAAGCCCTACAACCCGGAAAAAGATAGGAGAATGGTAGTTGTTGTAAATCCATTCAATTTTTATGTTAGCCAGACTCTAGACTTTGTTTAACATGTCATATGTAATATGAAGACAACATGTAGTATTTATGTCACCAAGTAGTATTGGGGTAAAAGTTATTGAATAGTGTTGCAAAAAAATGACAAAATTGTGAAGGTCTAAAATATTCCGTATTATTGAATATGAATCAGGTGTGTTGATTTAAATAAGTTGTGTAAGTTTCTGCCAAAGCAAAAAAAATGTCTGCAACCAATGTCCACTAATAAATTAAGTAAATCCAACATGCTCTTTTTTTTAGTGCACTGACACTGACACCTTCAACGGACACACCTTCACTTTACACAAAGTTTGAATATATGGAAACATCCTGTGAGTGAAAGTGTGTGTGAAGGTGTGTATGTGTGTGTTAGTATCAGGATCAGAGAACGACAGCTTTCCTCTGTTCCAGTCCAGATTCACTCTGATCCTCTGGAGCTTCTTCTGTACTGAGAGAGCAGTGAGAGGAGCTGATGGTGAGCGTGCTGAGTATTTACCTTCATAGAACCATATTCTCCATAATCCAGACTGTATCAGTCCCTTCCTCTGCACAGACTCTGCTAGCACACCCAATTCCCACCCTTTACTGTCTCCAAATTCAACATCCCAGCTGTGAGTCCCTGAGTTAAAGCCCTCAGAGCCCAGGACAGAGTAGAACAAATCAAACCTCTCTGGGTTATCAGGAAGCTGCTGCTTCTCTCCTCCATATCTCACACTGGTCAGATCTTCAGACAGGATGAGGTTTGGATGAGCAGTGTTTGGGTCCAGAATGAGAGGAGTGTAGGAGACCATGTCCTTCATGTTGTTCCAGATGTTGAAGGTCAGGTTGCCCAGGTGTTTGGCCTGGTCTATCAGAGCTCCTGAGGGCAGCTGTG